CTCGTTGATAGTTGCACCATGTTTCACAGGAGTACCTGTTGCTGTAAGGAACCCCCTGGTTTTCCAAATTAAGCCAAAATCATGTGCTACTCCTAGGGCATACCTGGAGTCTGTATAGATGTTGACACGTTTCCCTTCAGACATCCTGCATGACCCTTGTTTCCTCTGTGGGGGATGTCATGTATAAGAGCAGGGGCAAAGAACAAAGAACAGAAGTATCTTTACGAGAAAGTGGGGTAAGTAATTGAACCTGACCATCGGCAGTGAAGGAGATAGAAGCCCCTAAGAGGTTAATGGGACAGGTGGATGAAACAACAAACCAAGAGAGAATGTCAGAACCAACCCGCAAGAGCTTGGTTAGTGGGTTGTTCCTGGGGGTACCATCACAAGAAACATTGGTGTCAGACAGACAAGAAGGATCAGGCAGGTCTTGTTCTCTGAGAACACTGCGGGCTGCACCTGTGTCAACTAGGAAGGTAGTAGGATGACCCTCAACTGGTAATACAACTGTAGCTAGGGCCCCCCCGTCCCCTGTAAACACTGCCATAACAGGGGTGTCAGACACAGGTTTGCTGGTTACCTATTGTACAAGGTCTAGATGAGATTGATCAGGGCCAGTAACGTGTAGTACAGTGGCCTGATTGATGATTTTGATGGGCAGGGCAATAATGATTAGGTGCTGGATGATCATTTTGCTGAAAGTCATCTGAATCATAATTAACTGGGGGAGGGTGAGCATTAAATTGATTGGGTTGATAAGCCCAGAAGCATGCGGTTACTACCTCGAACAGCCGCTGAACGGGAGTTCCGAGCCGCCTACTTATAGGTATATTTCCCTTGTCAAGGGAATTTAATAAGGGGAGAACTGATTGACAACCTATATCAGGGCGGTGGCCAGCACTTAAGGGCTCATACACTGTGCAGTGGTGTATTCTGGTTTTGTGCTGCCCTAGGCGGTGGAGGATTCATTATTTTCCACTAGGGATTATTAAAAAAACATTATCCTTGATACAGTGCCATAGTTGCCAACATTTGAAAAAAAAATTCCAAGGACATTTTGCAGCACAGCTATCAATTACTGTCTGGGTATAATATCCCTGGACAGTCAGTGCTCTCTGTATAATACAGGGTTGTGTGTATAATAAATTGGGACACTCAGTGCTCCCTGTATAGTGCTGCTCTCTGTATAATACAGGTCTGTATTATACAGGAGGAAAGGCGAGATAGGGGGGATATGATAGAAACATTTAAATATATAAAGGGAATCAACACAGTAAAGGAGGAGACTATATTTAAAAGAAGAAAAACTACCACAACAAGAGGACATAGTCTTAAATTAGAGGGGCAAAGGTTTAAAAAATAATATCAGGAAGTATTACTTTACTGAGAGGGTAGTGGATGCATGGAATAGCCTTCCAGCTGAAGTGGTAGAGGTTAACACAGTAAAGGAGCTTAAGCATGCATGGGATAGGCATAAGGCTATCCTAACTATAAGATAAGGCTAGGGACTAATGAAAGTTTTTAGAAAATTGGGCAGACTAGATGGGCCGAATGGTTCTTATCTGCCGTCACATTCTATGTTTCTATGTTTCTATGTTTCTGTTTGTGTATAATATCCCAAGACAGAAAGCAGCACTATACAGGAAGCACTGACTATCTCGGGATATTTTATACACACAGATCTGTATTATACAGATAGCTGAGCATATACCCCAATCTCTAGACTACTAGTACCTGTCAACAGCAGCTCCCAGACGCGTGTAACAGGGCTAAAGTGTGCGGCAGCTCACACAGATTATTCAGAGCCAAACTGGGAATCCCTGGGAATCCAAAGCAGCCCTGGAAAAAAAACGTATGCCATTCCTACAAGTCAAAATATATATATATATATATATATATATATATATATAGAATATCCAAGTAGATGGCTGCACTAACGGTTTTGTATAAAAGTCCAAAGTTTATTGAAAAAACATAAAATAATTTGCGATCTATATATAGTACAGTATTCATATATATAGTACAGTAAGCACACAAGCGCAAATAGGCTTACTGACAGACAAAACTCTCTGACTCACACACAAGCTTACTACAGACACTCACTTGTATAAACAGAAGGCTCACTACAAAGAAGTTCAGGGACACACACACAAGCTCACTAAAGACAAGCTCAGTGACACACACATGTTCACTAAATAGAAGCTCACTGACACACACAAGCAGTACCATTTTAACAGAGTTAAGGGCCCCTGGGCAAAGCAATACACTGGGGCCCTTCCTACACAACAGGAATTTTAATTATTGATAGACTGCGGAGTCCATACACACAGACACAGACTGCTGAGTCCATACACACACACAGACTGCTGAGTCCATACACACACACACAGATTGCTGAGTCCATACACACACACACACACACACACACAGATTGCTGAGTCCATACACACACACTGCTGAGTCCATACACACACACACAGACTCTGCTCAGTCTATACACACACACACACACACACTCTGCTGAGTCCATACACACACACACAGACTGCTGAGTTCATACACACACACACACACAGACTCTGCTGAGTCCATACACACACACTCTGCTGAGTCCATACACAAACACACACTCTGAGTCCATACACAAACACACACAGACTGCTGAGTCCATACACACACACAGACTATTCCGGCTCCCAGCCTCACTCTGCGGCGCGTGAGGGAGCTGAGCGGACAGCTCAGAGGAAGAGCTCCCTCGCCAGCCGCCCGCACAGCAGCCAGCGCCGCTCGCCAGCCCAGCATGTCTGTTAGCCACGAGGCTAACAAGGCATTTGCCCTGGGCATTTGGGGGCAGCGTTTTTTGCCGCCCCCTGGAAAATGCCGCCCAAGGCAAATGCCTTGTTTGCCTCGCAGCTAATACGTCCCTGACCCTGTGCAACTAGGGTGAGCCCCCACTATACGTGCGCTGCACGGTGCTGCTGAGCGGAGGCGTGCAATGGCAACCTCTATGTACTAGGTGAGCCCCAGTTTATTCTATTTGGCCACAATTCGGACTACGACCCGACAGGTCTTCCGTGAACACTGCCTACTATTATAGTAGACTAATCTGTTTGCCCTGCAACCTGTGCCTACGATAAACCTACCAGACATCAATATGCAGACATCGAAGCTGGACAGAACAACTCAGATGACTATGGTGACCAACGGAGGATGCCTTTCATGGTTCGCGACCTTACCATGAATAGTGCTGGATGCCGCCAAACGCTGTCCGGGAATGGGCATAAGATTTGGGTTATGGACTCAGAACTGTTTCTGTTTCTCACAGAAAACCCCATTATTCGCCTCTCCCATAGGATACACATAGCAGCACTCCTCCGCATTTCCGCACTTCGCCACTTGGTCCTGGAGAGGCCTGCTTGCCAGTCTCCTGCCCTGCGACTATGGCCCCTGGGAGATTGTATGTGTTTAAACCAGCATTTGGGCATATGGACTTTTATTGTACGGTGCTGGCCCTTATATACATACTGAAACTTTTACCCTTACATACTGAAACTTTTGAGACACTTTTTCTGCCCCTTTGAATTCATGGGAAGGTGTGCCTCTTCCCCTCCCCCAGCTCCATTGTTCTCCAGCAGGGAGTTGTCCCAGGGACACTGCCAGACCAGCGGGAACTGGTTTGGGCAGGAAAAGCCATGCTGGCAAGTGAAAACAAAGGACTTTGACCTAACTTTTAAACCCCTGAACCTATTCAAGTGAATTTTGGATATGTTTGTCCCCAAGTTATACTGGTTAAAATAATATAAGTGTACGTATGTATGTACGATGTAAACTCACAAAGTTATAAAAATGTATAAAAAGTGTAACTTTTGAGCTTGGAGATAATTGAGTATATACAGTAATTGACTCAATTATCTCCTAAGCATGGGGGAGCAATATGATGGGTGTGTTTCTATTGTCCCATTGTGTCTGATTGGATGCTGTACTTGCATTGTATATGTTGTAATGTGTTTATTGGTTGTTCTGAAAAACCCTGTGGGTGGTCCTTTGGTGCCAAGTAATACAGATCTTCTTGACCCTCAATGCATAGCCTTGTCTCGTTATTGGAGAGAACTGCTATAATCACAGTGGGGATTGGTATGCTCTGCATACTCCCTTGAGCTTTTAATCACTTAGCTCTTTTAAGAGCTGTTCCTGATATGCTTTCCTGGAGGAGAGGTCTTCCCCACACGGTCCTGGAGGACAGAAGCTGATCCAGGGTGGGCAGAAGACGGCGAGACTCCAGTTAAGCTACAGCAGTTGTGGAGTCTTGCGGTGGTTGTGGTGTACGGTGCGGTGCTTGTGGTCCTCGGCGCAAGCTAGGAAGCGTCCATTAACGGAAGTATAGCAGCGCACATCTCCACCCGTCACATGGGAAACCAGGTTTTGATTCCCCAATGGCGAGTCAGTTTTATTTTAAATCCTGTTAGAGATGTAAACCTACACAACATTGTTCCCTAATGGAAATATGCAGGTTTAATATAATTAACCCTTTTGAGATAATGGCTATTCTGTATAGTTTGTTCCATTTTGGCATTTCTCCCTACATGCACATATCACAGACGGAAAACATTTGATTGTCAAGATGCCTTCATTTAAGGCATTGTCTATAAGTAGTTTTGGTGTAGGCACACATTTGGGTGCAGTTTCCATAAAATAAATTTCAATCAGTTTGACAACAAAAAAAAGCACTCTCCGGCACCCAATTCCTATATGCAGTTGTCTTAAAATATTATGATAGGGAATTCTACTTTACTCATTCTTTCCGGGTTCTTGTACAATTAAAACTCCCAGTGCAATTTCACTCTGTGCAAAAAGTATATTAAAGTCCTGGGGTAGAAAATGATTTGGCCATGTAGAATCAGCATGCCAATCCAGGATTATCAAATTGCCTAAGGCTACCTGTCTCTATTCAATGGCAACAGATTATAAAGGATGCTAGGTAATGCACATGTGTGCTGAGAATGCCCAAGAAGTGACTACATGTAAATTAAATTAATAGGCAAATACATATGTTTAGAAATGTATATGTATTTCAAAAATGTATTTGTTCTTAATCATAATCACTCATTAAATGTATAATTAGCTTTATGTGTACTGTTCCAGTAGACTCAAGTATCTGTTCCATGGGGGTGTGGCTTGGCGCGCAGACAAGATGGCCGCTTGAGACCTCTGCTCCTGACACCGGGTCCCAATAATCGCAGCAATAACCTGGTCCAGATGGGTCATACAAAGAAGCCCTGCAATCCCCAGCCAATGCGCCACGTTTTGACACCACACCGAGCCATACCGATGGACAAATTTCTGTCCACGCCGGTGGAACTGGTGGACTTCACAGCCTTTCATGTCCCCTCAGAACCCAAAAACCCTGCTCATCTTGGAGGGCCCACAATATCCGATGGCACAAGTGAGGGCCGACCTGCGTACAATTTCGCAGGCCATGTTCACCAAAACAGACGCAGGGGCAATGGAGGCCTCCCTAAAATGTTCCATCCAGGCCAAACTGGCCATGATCCGCCAGGACGTTTCTTCAGCCACACTTCAGGCTTCAGCTACAACCTTCTCCCAGCAACATAATGCAGTTGAACTGGCAGCCACAAGACAGGGGAACATGTTGCTGGATGTTAGACGGCATATAGAAGACCTCGACAACAGAGGCAGGAGGTGCAATATTAGGATACGCGGCCTACCTGACAACATTCAGGGGGAACCACTTGAGGCCATGCTGCAAGCACTCTTCAATTTTATCCTGGGGAATGATGATCCAGAGAATTTCCAAGTGCATCGCGCACACAGGGCCCTCCGCCAACCAAGGACAGCTGTTTGCACTCGTTCCAGCAAATAGAACGCATTATGCACCAAGCCAGAGAACGTCAGTTAACCTAACGTAATGGTGGGGCTTCCCCTTCTGCCTAGATGCAAGGTCTGGCAAAGCTTGGGCTATGATAAAGATGCCAGAGGACGTAACAGGGTTTCTAAGAGACCTCACACGACAGTACAAAACTGGATCCATCCGACCACCCTACCACTGAGAGAACAGCGCTCTCACCAACGCAGACATCCTGCCCTCAACTCACACTCCTCCGCATCTGCCTGAGCAACACCACACAGTTCAGAGAAATGAGAGATCCACGTCCAGCCCTAGAGATTGTGATTCAGGGAGACGGAGGCCTCGGTGGGTCCGAGGTATACTCCACCGGAGACATGCACGCATTCTGACCCTACACTAGAGAAGGTGAAGCAAGAAGGTGAAGCAAGTACCCCCATCCTCACTCTGTAAAGTTGTTCCCCGGGACATGTTTTACAGTAACCCACGTTCCTCTCGGGTGGGTACTCATGGCTTCATGTTTTGGGTGGCCCAGGCCTCTGGCCAGCTACTAGCTGGGGGGTGACTGTTTTCCTATTGAGCTGCTCTGGACATGGGTTACAAGAAGCTTTCTGCTGCCCAGGCAGCGAAGGGGACTATACTCCGACCTGCCCTATTCTAAGCTAAACCCCTGGAAGTGGGGCATTTGGACCTGTCACTGGGCTACTGCTAGGGATGAGCTGAGGTGATCTACGTGCCTCATGGGTAGGTACCCATGGCTCTATGTTTTGGGTGGTTTTGGGAGTGGGGATGCTCTGGGTAGGTGCCACGAGGATCTTTGACTACTCAGTTTTCAACTTCAATTTACATTTCAGACAGATCAGTCCCTGAGGTTACCCTGAAATGGTTGACATAACAAACACGCTGTTACAGATGGGACGCTGAAACCATTTAAGGCGTTTGTTATGCTCCCTTTTCTTAACACATTCGCTGAAGAGGTGCATACCCTGCTACAAATGGAACAGTTACACTAAAGTTCTAATATGCTATTTTATTTTGTTAATTTGGCTGCTACACCGCTTATTCGCATCTGATATGTCTCTTAACTAACATGGC